GTGCTTTTTTTTTTTTTTTAAATAAACTGAAGTTTGGAAATATGTAACTCGGGTCTTGAGTGCTCCAGCACCCTGGAAACAATTTTATTTCTTTCCAACAGGTGTCAGCAAACACAGGAAAAATGATTTTTTTCTTTATAATAATTTATGTAAGAATTATTCTATTCCAACTGCAAGGAGGAAAAATGACTTTTTTTTTTATTTCCGCCTACCTATTTTTGAAGTCTCCCCATACCCTCATACAGTACAATAAATGCAATATCTCAATGTCATTTTACAGAAAACCCTTTGAAGTTACAAAAAGAACTGCCGAAAGTGATCAATATTATTATATATACTCAGAGTTTAACTGGTTAACAGCACACACAATCGTTTTTACACATTTATACTCCATGTATCCACCATTTCCCTCTGACAAAGTGTTGTTTACAGAATAAATGAATTTGGTCTTACTGTACGCGAGATCTGACTCTTAATGAATGGAGCTGGTGCATTTAGTTAATAATATAATAATGATGATGATAATAATAATAATAATAATAATGTGATTAATAATAGTAATAGCATCCATTGTCCAACTGAAATAAATGCATTACATTTCTCTATACATCCACTCTCCTTAACACATTAACTGTCTTTTTTGGAAGGAATGTTATTGTTGTAACAATACATATTTGGACTCTTTGATTGTTCTGTTCAGAGCAAGCATTATTATTGTGTTCATATGTTAATCACTGCATGTGCAGAACTTAATGTAAAAATTTTCATTTTATTAATCAGTGCCTCTATAGTCCAGTGGTATACAAAAGTCATTCATTGTTCACAGCTCATTAGTTAACTGGAGAAATTAACTCGGAGTTCTGCAATTAGTTGAATATTTTATGAACATTTTTAACAACGTTTATTATTCAATTGTTTTGTTCCTTAGAATGATGCAGCCAAAGAGTTTGACGAGAAACACAAAAAGGACATCGAGAAGATTAAGGATATGAATCTTTCAGAGTGAGTATTTGCATAAAAGTGTTTATTTACACAAGACACAAGGTAAATTCTTAATAAATGTATTGATTCGATAATTTTGTTGAAATAGTTTTTGCACCTTGTTGAAAAAGTACTTATATTGTATAACCGTGCAGAAGAATTAATTTACTTGCATGGCATTTGTACTTCCCACCCTGCTCACAACTTTTTTTTACTCGCAATAATTATTGTGAAAAGCGCTATAGAAATACTTGTGTCCTAAACTATAGTATGTTGAAATGAGCATTTAAAATAAAAGTACCTGGATGTTCTACTATTTCCATAATGTATTTGAAGTGCAGATCAATACTCATTTCTAAGGCTAATATTGACCACAATACAATCTACATTGAGTGTGAATTCAGTTAAAACTACAAACAGTTTAAAAGCGTTAACAAACTACAAACATGGTGGATAAGTGAGACTGATTAGGCTTAGGCAAAGATGCTTAAATGATTATTAATTAATATCAAACCTTGTCAAACTATTTTTTTTTTTTATGTTTTCAATGTTGTTTCATCTGCAACAACATAGTGAACTTTTATAAACATGTTTGGTGATTTCTCTGCATGACTGACCTGCGAATGGCTGATTAATGCCTGCTGCATCTCCAACATGGCAGGAAATGAATTATAAAGGAACTGTGGACTATTTGACAAGATGATTGACAGGGCATGTGATTAAGCAGTAGAATGGTTCATTAATGAGGAATATCATATACCAAAACTTGTTCAGCTGCCAATTAAGTAGTAAAGTAGTTTACTCAAGTTCACCGCTCACATCACCATCCAGTCAACAAGCTCACTGAAATGTCTCACGGTTCTCCACTCCCCAAACCCCTGCTGGCAACTTTTAACCACTTTAACCTCTGTATATGTCTTGAATAACGGAGAGTGAGAGTGATGCTTAGCTTTAAGATATTTGATAACTTGCTTTTATATGCTTTTCATCTTCTTACAATCTTACGAAGCTTAACTTGAGAAGCTTGATAAATATGGGCCCAGATCCTCTGACATGGACTTGTTACTGTCCAGGTATAAGAGCTCACTCCTGTTGCATGGAGCAGATTAGGTGCATTTTGCTTATAACAATAACATCCATGGCCAACTGACCTAAATGGCTTGTATTTCTAATAAAAAAGGTAGGACGACAGTCAAAACAAATCTTTGCTTAATTGGTTTCTCTCTCTTTCAATTTCAATCTTAATTTGTATGTTTTTTGTGCCCATGTAGAAGACACATCACTTCTTTCAAGCGCTATTTGAGTAACGCTTTAGCCTTTGCTTATTAACCTTACCTATTATTGCTTGCTTTACTCAATCAGTTTATCTTAATTGCTCTTTTTTTTTTGAGTGACTGAGACTTGGCTAAAATAGGCTATTGAAGTCTTATATATACACTTACTGGCCACTTTATTAGGTAGACTTTACTAGTACTAAGTTGGACCCTCTTTTGCCTTCATTCATTTTTTTTCGGCATAGTCCCTTTATTAATCTGGGGTCGCCACAGCAGAATAAACCGCCAATTTATCCAGCATTTGTTTTACGCAACGGATGACCTTCCAGCTGCAACCCATCTCTGGGAAACATCCATACACACTCATTCACACTCATACACTACGGACAATTTAGGCTACCCAATCCACTTGTACTGCATGTCTTTGGACTGTGGGGGAAACCGGAGCACCCAGAGGAAACCCACGCAAATGCAGGGAGAACAAGCAAACTTCACACAGAAACGCAAACTTCACACAGAAACGCCAACTGACCCAGTCGAGGCTCGAACTAGTGACCTTCTTGCTGTGAGGCGACAGCACTACCTACTGTGCCACTGCGTCGTCCCTTTTGCCTTCAGAAAATTCTTAATCCTTTGTGGCATATATTCAACAAGGTGGTGGAAATGTTCCTCAGAGACTTTGGTCCATATTGACATGACAGCATCACACAGTTGCTGCAAATTTGTCGGCTGCACATTCATGATACAAATATCCCAATCCACCACATGCCATAGGTGCTCTATTGAATTGAGATCTGGTGACTGCGGAGGCCCTTTGAGTACAGTGAACCCATTGTCATGTTCAAGAAACCAGTCTGAGATGATTCACGCTTTATGGTATGACACGTTTATGTTATGAGTGCTGCAAGTAGCCATCAGAAGATACTTCTGTGTAGTGGTGAGCTGTGTTGACGACACGAAGCTCAATTGGTACTAATGGGCCCAAAGTGTGCCAAAAAAATATTCCCCACACCATTACACCAACACCACCAGCACAAACCGTTGATACAAGGCAGGATGGATCCATGATTTCATGTTTTTGACACCAAATTCTGACCCTACCATATGAATGTTGCAGCAGAAATCAAGACTCATCAGACCAGGCAATGATTTTCTAATCTTCTATTGTCTAATTTTAGTGAGCCTGTGCAGATTGTAGCCTCAGTTTCTTGTTCTTCGCTGACAAGAGTGGCACCCAGTGTGGCCTTCTGCTGCTGTAGCCCATCCGCCTCAAGGTTGGATGGGTTTTGTGTTTAGAAATGCTCCCCTGCATTCCTTGATTGTAACGAGTGGTCATTTGAGTTACTGTTGTTTTCCTATCAGCTGGAATTAGTTTGGCCATTCTCCTCTGACCTCAATAGGACATTTGTGTTTAAAGAACTGCCGCTCACTGGATATTTTCTATTTTTCGGACCATACTCTATAAACCTAAAGATGGTTGTGCGTGAAAATCAGCAGTTTGGAATACTCAGACCAGCCTGTCTGGCACTAACTACTATGCCACATTCAAAGTCACTCAAATCATCTTTCTTCCCTATTCTTATGCTCAGTTTGAACTGCAGCAGAACATCTTGACCATATCTACATGCAAAATGCATTGAGTTGCTGCCATTTGATTGGCTGATTAGAAATTTGTGCTAACGAGCAGTTGGACATAAATAATAAATAAATGGAATAAAGTGGCCGGTGAAAGTGTTATTATAAGGATGGTTATTGCCGATTTCAATTTTTATTTTTGATGTTTTTAATGAAGGTACATGATTCGAGGAGATGATGAGGAATGGGATCAAGTGTTGAAGAAAGCAGGACATACAGCTATTGTTAGCATAAAAGGGTAAGAAGTGATAAATGGCTCTCGGATTGGGGGACTTTTGTCTTTTGTTAAGTTTGGGATCAAGAAGTTTTATTAACTCGTATTTCTGTTTGGTTTTTCCTTATTAGTGACAAGAAAAGGAAACTAGAAGGCACGAACCAAAAAGAACAACGCGAAGGCAAGAAGATGAAGAAAATAAAGGACAAAAGGGGCAAATTTGGAAAGAAAACATGAAATGTACTTTAAAAGGAATTTTGAAAGTGACTGTGCTTGTTTTTTATTATGTTTTTTTTTTTTTAAGTTTAATTCAGGACAAGAATCCAAATAAAAGCTTAAGATGTTTGGATAAAGATTTTGAGAGACTATTTTGTTTTATTTTATTTATATTGTGGGAGGAGGATCCCAGGTATTTTCATTTTTTTTTTTTATTCCCAGTTTGCAGATTTTCTGTTCTTTTTCCATGAAAATTATCCTCGGGAGCATAACACTATTATTGTATGAACATACTTTGCTGTCTGTTAAATAATTATGATGACTACACAAGACTCATTGATTGCTAAACCCAGTGAGTTTAAATATTTTATTTAGACAGAATTTGGGGAAATGGCTCTAGATGAATCATGCATAACCTTTTCTCTCATGAACAGTATATGAACTCATAGCTAATCAATGTGATTTAATACCAGTGCACATTCTATATTGCTTTCAGAAAACATTTAGCTTAATTGAAATGATAGAGTTAAGCCTTGTGTAAATCATTATACAAAATTAATACAGTGCTGCAAAATTGTTGGATAGTCTTTAGGGAAATGTGTTGAACAGGCTGAAAGTCGGTGATCTTTGTGCTGTCATTGTTTGGTCATTCATCATTTGTGGATGTCTAATGACTGCATTGCACAACAGTGCTTCGATAACGAGCTGTGCTGCAAGAAGCAAAGAACTTGCACGTATTTTCTGCGGCGTATTTTCTCGAGTAAAAATGGAGATTCCTATCGTGGATTTCAACGTGTTTGAACTCGGAAAGACGAATGTGTCGGCTGATGAACTGGATGATTTGAGTAAAGAAGTGAAAAGAGCCTTCACCGATGTGGGGTTTGTTTATCTGAAAAACACGGGAATAAGTCAGGAAGAGGTTTGTGAGGATTTCTTTTACGTGATAGTAGTTATGAGAAGTTCAGTAGCTCGCTTACTGTTTTTTTGTCGACTGTTTCAGGTAGACAATGTTATGGCTGTTTCAAAGAAGTTCTTCAGTTTGCCAGAAGACGTGAAAAAGTCTTTCAGCAGGGGTAGTTTCCCATGTAACGAGAACCATGGCTGGGTTTCGGTAGAAACGGAAAGGCACGTCGAACGACTCTCGGGTGATGATCAGCTTCTAAACTCAGGAATGATGAAGATGCGTCTAACGACTGTATCTTTTGTCATTTCACAGTTTGAACCCTCGGCGTCCTGGTGATTTGAAGGAGGCGTTCAATACATCGACTTTGAGTGCAGATATTGTAAATACAATTCTTCAGTTTGTTCTCCTACTTTAATCATAGCATGTTTTTGTGGGTTCAGTTTTACAAATCTTGAAGAGGTGACAAGATCAAAGAGATCAAATTTTATGCAAATATTTCATGTTAAAAAATGGCATAACAAATGTGCATGATTGTTAAAGCAAGTTTATTTTAAATATCCCTAAAACAATATGTAACGAATACTGAGTCTAACTATAGAAACTGATAAATTAAGGCAGAATTGCACAAGAAAATGCCTGGTCTTTTTTATTTAAATAAAAATAAATAAATAAATAGAAAATAGAATGTAGTTGGGTGGAAATACATGGAAAGAATCCATTAATCATTCATTTCCAGAACTGTAAAAAGTATGCAACTAAAGAACCAGGTTCTAGAGAATACTGAATCTTGTTCCCCCATTCATAATCAAAAGCTTAAGTGCCATAAAGCAGTGTTATCTGAGTCTTGAAGTAGCAGCAGTTCAAGTCTGGCATAGTGATTGATGGTCATGGTTTAAGCCGATACTAACAATAATAGACCTTCCAGGTTGAAAGATCTTGTGACTTAAAATGAACCCTCAAAACCCAGAACAAGATCCTGCAAGGTAAATTCTTCAAAAATGGTGCAACAGAAATTGGTGCAATGATACTTACTACTTTTACATTTTTTTAAACAGCCATTTTAATATATTTTTTGACAGTTTAGCTTATGACTTTTATTAAATGCATTATGGTCATGTTTAAATACCCTTTATAGACTCTAAAGCAAGTGGCAGACTTCCTGGAGGGTTCTTAATGGTTTAATTTAGACCTAATTCTTCACTTAAAATCTTTTGCAGTTCATTTTCTTAATTCTCAACCAGTTTCTGGAGACATTTCTTGTCCATCGGTATATTTATCGGTATATGTTTTTTGGACATTTTATTTGCAAACAAACTGCTAAATACTTATTCACATCTGAATACTGCCAGGCCTTGTTAACAATTATACATTAATAAATAAATACAAGATTAACCATAGTTGTTAAGCTTTGGAATTGATGCGCTTGAGAAAAAAAAAATAAAATCTTGACTTGCATAATAATGCACACTATTTAAAGCCATTCAAAGTCAGCATTTACAAAGTTTGTCATGCTTGAGTAAATTCTTTAGGTGAACAATTAGTCTGTAAACACCTAATCCCCCCCACCACCACCACCCCCCACCAAAAATCTTTGGTAGTCTTCAAAGTCTGACCATACAGAAATATTAATGAAATCAACTTTTAATGTGGGATTTAAAACATTACATGACTCTCAATGTGCTCAGAAGTGGCCTTCAGAAGGAGTTGCTGATTTCCGAGATGTCCAGGTATCATTTTTCCTGCGCTGTAAGGAACTTTCTCTGCGGGTGCTGCGACTGATGGCTCTTGGTTTGGGGCTGGAATCTGAAGTCTTCCTTGATGCTCACAAGCTAATTGGAAGTAAGTAAAATCATATGCACTTCCGCATCCTCCAATTGAGGTCTTGCTTTGAGAAGTGGATTTTAAGGTGTAATTGTTTGTAGGTGATGTGAATAGAACCACACTACGGTCTCTGTTCTACCCTCCTGTCAAGAGCACAAGTGTGAAGGAAAATCAGCTGCGATGTGGTGAACACTCAGATTATGGCAGCATCACTCTGGTCTTTCAAAGCCGTGAAGGTGGACTGCAGGTGAGCACCAGTACAGGACAACATTCTGTTCATTATTGTGGATCTTTATCATTTAGAAAGCATATATTTGTGTCTGCATATTCTCCAGGTTTTAAGCCGGGCTGGTGAGTATATTTCTGCTCCGAGTATTTGTGGGACGGTTCTGGTTAACATTGCAGACATGATGCAAAGATGGACCAGCGACATCTATGTGTCTGCCGTAAGTTTCTTTTACTGATGTTACATTTAATTTAACAGAGCTTGTACAATGGGTTTGGCAAATACAAACGCAGTTAAAAAAAGAAGATTTAATTTTCCTTAACCTTTATTTTTATTAAGAAGCAAAATACAAAGAAATCAAGTGTTTTTCATGACAAAGTTGTATTTTGTAACCTTAAACTAAAGTTGGGAGAGAGGTGTAAAATTGAAATAGTTATAACTTTTCCAAACGAAACAAGTTTTAAAAGTGGTCCACAATAAACAATAAGGTGAACTGGTAATTAAAGAAGGGTATGTATTTGGGTGTAAAATGATCCAGCATTTCAGTCTTTTTCAAATAAAGCTGCATAATTTCTCATCATTCTGTGCTATGAATCATTAGCTAATTATCAAACAAATTAAAAATCATATTTTCAACATCTGCTGAGAATGTGGCCATCAAAAAAAGGAGAATCACACAACAATGATCATGACTGTTGAGCTGCTGAAAACTTGTATTAAGACAGAGCCGGCAAAAACGCTTGTTGAATTTCAAAGAGATCATTCACCCATAAGAATTTCTATTACATGTATATTTATACAGTTGTTTTTTTTTATTATTGGGTGAACTATCCTCTTAACAATTACAATCCTCAATTTCCAAACAATCAAACATTGTTATTAAAAGGAAAGCTGATGTAACACCATTTAAACAAAAATTTTGCAGTACTTCTAACATCAATATCAAAACATTTTTTAATTAAAATTTAAGTAGAAATAATTTTTGTTATGTTTAATGAATTGAACTAGCCTAAGACACTATTTGAGAAAGTAGCAGTTACATAAAAAGTCTGTGTGAAATTTTTAGTATGTTGACATGTTGTGCTTTCTTTTTGCACATCATTCCCTTGTAGCAAAATAAGAGGGGCGTTGTTAAGAATATTGTGGCTGAAGCCATTAAACTAACATCAACAGAAGATTACCAAAACACTTTTTCCCCCTCAGCGGATTAACCTGCGTAGTGAATTGTTCACCTAAGGAATAACATTGTGTGCAAGCAAAATAAAATTTGTAAATGCAACAATGGAAACATGTTTAAATATTATAATGCCTGTATTTAGAGAAAGTTCACCCAAAAAATAAATCCCTGCCATCATATTCTTACACTTGACTTGTTCCGAACAAGTTTGAGTTTTTTCCCGGTGTTAAACACAAAAGAAGATATTTTGAAGATAGCTAGAAAGCTGTAACCATTATCTTCTACAGTGTGTTTTTCTTACGTGTCTGCGGAAGTCAATGGTTACAGGTTTTCATGTTTAAATATATGAAGAGTTCAGATACAAAAAACCTCCTAGTGCCATCTAGAAATTTCTTTTAAAATGAGCATTTTTCTCAGGTCCCTATATTTTGATTCAGTTATTTCATTTTTATGGCAAGGAATAGGTAATTGTCATCAATTTTAACATTAAATAACTAAACATAAGCATAGGAGGCAGAGAAAAATGCTCATTGTAGAAGAAAACTTCAGATGGGACTTTCAATTTCCAGATGGTTTTTGCATTTGAACTCTTCATATCATCTTCTATTGTGTTATAAAAGAACAAAAATCTCAAACTGGTTTGAAACCACTTGTGGTTAAGTAAATGATGACAGAATTACTTTTTTTGTGAACTATCCCTTTAATGCCTGTTTAAACCTTCATATTGTGAAGAACCTTATATTATAACTTCATTGACACAGTGCATCCTGAAAGTATTGATAGCGCTACACTTTTTCCACATTTTTTCATGTTACAGCCTTATTGCAAAAAGGATTAAATTAATTTATTTGCTCAAAATTCTACACACAATACCCCATAATGACAGTGTGAAAAAGTTTTTTGAAATTGTTGTAAATTTATTAAATAAAAAAGCTGAAAAATCACATGTACAGAAGTATTCACAGCCTTTTCATGAAGCTCTAAATTGAGCTCAGGCACATTCTGTTTCCACTGATCATTTGTGTGATGTTTCAGCAGCTTAATTGGAGTTCACATGTGGTAAATTCAGTTGATTGGACCTGATTTGAAAAGGCATACACTTGTCTATATAAGGTCCCAGGGTTGACAGTGCATGTCAAAGCACAAACCAAGCATGAAGACAAATTGTCTGTTGATCTCCGAGACAGGATTGTCTCGAGGCATAAGGGTGGGAAAGGTTACAGAAAAATTTCTGCTGCTCTGAAAGTTCCAATGAGCACAGCGGCCTCCATCATCCGTAAGTGGAAGATGTTTGGAACCACCAGGACTCTTCCTAGCTGGCCGGCTATCTAAGCTGAGTGATCAGTGGAGAAGGGCCTTAGTCAGGGAGGTGATCAATAACCCAATGGTCACTTTGTCTGAGCTCCAGCGTTCTTCTGTGGAGAGATGAGAAACTTTCAGAAGGACAACCATCTGTGCAGCAATCCACCAATCAGGCCTGTATGGTAGAGTGTACAGACCGCAGCCAATCCCAACCCTGGAATTTGCCAAAAGGCATCTGAAGGACTCCCAGACCATAGGAAACTAAACTCTCTGGTCTGATAAGAATAAAATGGAACTCTTTGGAGTGTTTCATTGGAGAAAATCAGGCACCACTCATCACCATCCTAATACCATCCCTATACAAAGAAGCACGGTGGTGGCAGCATCATGCTGTGGGGATGTTTTTCAGCAGCGGGAACTAAAAGACTAGTCAGGACTTAGGGAAAGATGAATGCAGCAATGTACAGAGACATCCTGAATGAAAACCTGCTTCAGAGTGCTCCTAATCTCAGACTGGGGCAACAGATCATCTTCCAGCAGGACAGTGACCCACAGCACACCACCAAAATATCAATGGAGTGGCTTCACAACAACTCTCTGAGTGGCCCAGCCAGAGTCCAGACCTAAATCCTATCGAACATCTCTGGAGAGATCTGGAATTGGCTGTACACTGCCGCTTCCCATCCAACCTAATAAAAAAGCTTGAGAGCTACTGTAAAGAGGAATAGGCATAAATTCCCAAAGACAGGTGTGCCAAGCTTGTGGCATCTTATTCAAAAAGACTTGAGGCTTTAATTGCTGCCAAAGGTGCATCAACAAAGTATTGAGCAAAGGCTGTGAATAGTTATGTACGTGTGTTTTTCAGCTTTTTTGTTTTTAATTAATTTGCTACAATTTTAAAAACTTTTTTTTTTCACACTGTCATTATGGGGTATTGTTTGTAGAATTTTAAGAAAATAAATGAATTAAATACATTTTGGAATTAGGCTGTAACATAAAAATGTGGAAAAAATGAAGCGTTATGACTTTCCGGATACACTGTATTAAAATATGACTTTTTTGTAGTCTTTTAAAACCCCTTAGTCACACTGTAGGTTTTTATTTTATTTACAATCGGCTCCCTATAAAGGGTTAAATCATGTCTATTGTTCTGTCCATCAGGTTCATCGGGTTTTGCTGCCCCCTGCAGGAGACTCCAGCACACGCCAGTCTTTAGCCTTTTTTGTACAACCTGATGATGACGCCATGATTTCCTGCTGCGATGGATCAGATAAATATCCTCCTGTTAGATCCCTTGATTATCTTTTATCAAGGTTCAGCGAGTCTTATATTACAAAAAACACATCTGACATGAGCTTAATTTTATGAAGCATGTTTAAAAAAATTGCTATAAATAATTTATGGTTATAATCATCAGAGAACATCATTGTTGAAGCTGACATAATTTAATAAATTTTAAAGAAATTTAAACGACAATAATACTCTGGAACCCACAAAGGATACTCAAACAAGCCAAACGTTCTCATATATGAACTATCGATTTCTGCGTGTTTTAGAAATGTGTACATTTTTGTGGCTATTTTAAAGGCAGTGTTCTGTCATTTCTAGCATGAAAGTGTCCACAAAAAGCTGTTGATTATTCACTTGAAACAGTGATGGTATAATTACTGATATCCTGGGATGGATATCATATTTTCTACAAATTTGTTTTACACCAGAATATGTTTAGCATTGGACGTACTTTATGAAAGGAATCCTGAATTATGCGTTAACTAAAATAAAAAGATTTATCCTATGAGGTTTGGCTGTGTTTGTGCAAATCAGACATGACAATTAAACAATAAAATACAATCAACTTTCTTTGAGCACAAGATTCAAGTACAATCCCTATCCTCACAAACAACAACATAGTCAAAAGTGTAACCGTCCACTGATAGTTCTGTTTATCACGTTTCAATATTCATGGTTGTTGAATGTTGCTTTGTGTTTGATGCCAATGCATTTCCTATGAGACAGTACATTGAATGTGAGGATGGAAATGTTTAACTCTACATACAGCACACATACACATTACAGACATTCAGGAGAGCTTGAGCTGCTAAGAATGTGGAGGAAGGTCCTGCGACAACTGCTGACCATCACCAGGTAAAATCTCCACAGCGGACAGAGCTGAATTGCACAAAAACAAAGAAAAAATGCTTGTTATGAGAGCATTTACAGGTCCTTTTTATTATTGTTATTCTTATTAATTAACCACATGATTATCCAATTTCATTAAAAAAAATATATAATTAATTTAACATTTACAAATTTATTACGTAAATTATAAAATAGATTTTCTTTCTTTCTCAGATTGCAATTAGTACTCTGTCCTTAAGGGCCGTCCACACTTAGAAAGATCACTATAATTTAAACCCAATGATAAAGTTGGTAAAATCACTGTGATTCATTAACAAGCACTGTTTTAAAAACGTTTTAAACTTGTAAACTTATTCTTGATAATATTTGATAAAGATTGATGTTCACAGCGAGCTCAACAGATCTTTTGATCCCAGTTGCTTTGCATTACTATAGAGACATGTTACAGTTTTTCTCTATTGGTTTGGCTCATTTCTTGACACAGGAATTACATTCTCAAAACAACATGGACAAACCTCCAAACCACTTGGCAGTTGTTCACAACAGACTTGATTTTCTCATTCATTTCATCAAATTGCAAATGTCTAAGTTTATCTTGCAAATGTCATCTTGCGGTTATGAATATAATAAAACGTGTTTGTTTGTTGTAAAAATTCATAATAATGACAAAAATACTAATTTGTGGATCTCCTTACTTCCGGACGCAGCTGTTGCTGGGGTATTCTGGGAAATATTTCTTACCCCTTGGTTTCAAGTGTGGTCCTGAAAAGTCTTCGTTTGAAGGGGTGTATACCCCTTGCTCTTAGCCCTACGCCTTTCAGCTAAAGAGAATTGGGACACCATTAACCCAACACGGGCACGCGCAATATGAGGGGTAAGGGGTAGGGCTAAGGGTAGAATTGGGATTGGGCCTAAATTTCACTGGATTCGGATGGGCTGTTAGTCTTATTAATTAGCTAAAAATATCACTAAAAGCAATCCCAACAATTTTGTTTCATTATACATTTATGGTTACAGTTGTGGTCCGTGTTTTTTTTTTTTCTTTCAGAATGTTTTTAGAACAACGTTTTGATTGTTATCTTTACAGCTAGCTATAGTCTTTAGTGTGAATGGCGCTTTAAAATGACAACGTGGACGAAGAAATTGGACTTTGCATTATGCTGTAAATTCTATTTTGCATTTGATAGATCAATTCCAAGATTCTGTCTTGTTTCCAACACTGTGAAAATCACAGGCCCCTTCATGCGACCTATGTAAAAAAAAAGTTGCACTGACCTTTGGGCTGCACTGGAGGCTCTGTTTTCTGTGCTTTCAGCCGCTCCATGTGTTGTACTGCCTAAACAGAAGAAATAAGTTAAATAGGCAATCCATCAACAGGTTGAGCAAGTGAACAACTGTAGAGGTGAGGCAGAACTAGTATGAATAGATTTCCATTTAAAGAGGAACAGGACTTGAAATTAAGCCTTGATGTGCTTGCAAGAAAATGGAATGTATTTTGTCATCTTTCACGTCAAAGACAAAAATCAAAGTTTACATTAAAATAATGACACTTAAGACCTAAAATGAGCACTATTAAAATCTAGAGGGACAAGGTCATACATGAAAACAATTAGCATAACCTATAAATGAATCAACTAAAGGGATAACTTTACTTTAATACAAAACTGGTTAAAAAAACTGTTCCAGATATATATATATATATATATATATATATATATATATATATATATATATATATATATATATATATATATATATATTTTATTTTATTTTTTTTTTCTGTTGAACACAAAAGATATTTTGAATGCTGTTTGAAATTGGTAACCATTCACTTTCAACATAGGGAACACAATGAAATTAAATGGTTACAGGTCAACAGCATTTTCCAAAATAACTTATTTTATATTTTCATTTACAGAAAAAAAAAAAAAAGATTTCAAACAGTTTTGTAACCACATGAGGGTGCACCCACACTATGCTATCCGAAATATACCCGGGCACGTTTCCTGGTTTGTTTGCCAAGTGTGAGTGCTCCGAATCCGGATCTGTTACGCAAAATATTTGACTGTGTCACTGCATCACAAACGACTAAAAATAATACAAACAATATACCTAAAGAAATGTCCACTGTGCCAAGCGAGAGCGCTGCTCTTCCTGTTAAACAGTTGCATTATCAGTGACTTAAGCGTGCTTCAGTTCAGAAGGTAATGCAATGTGAGTGCATGCCGTGGGGGGGAGAGAGGAGCTCTTCGGCACGATTCAAGGCAACTGTACCTAGCGTGAGTGCCCTAAGAGTGAGTAAATAGTGAGCTTTTTAATTTTGGGGTGAACTATCCCTTCAACTGTGGATAACAATAATGAAACAAGCAAAAAATGGCTTTCCATGTTCTTTTTAGGTTCTTTTATTATAGACTCGTCTCATGATTTTTCAGGACCGTAGTATTTCTGTCCGTTCTTTTGTACCTGCTGTAGTTCCATCTTCTGGGCGTTGAGCTGATCCTGTTGTCTCTCCAGCTCCTCTCTCTGCTTCTGCAGGTCATTTGTCCTCAGGTTCAGGTCTTGTTCTTCTCGAGCGAGATGCTGCTCAAACTCTCTCAGCTCTTCTTCAGTGTAGACTGGATTCTGATCTAGAGTCTCAAGAGGAGGCAGACAAATGACACTGTAAAGACGACTTCTATATAGTACATAATCACTACAGTGATTTCAGCTGGTAAGAATTTTAAAGTCTGTGTGAAATCAAAATGTACAATGTTTATTTTGTTTATTCTTTAGGTGAACAATAAATCAGTGCAAATTAATACATTGAAGAAAAACAAAGTTTATTTTAGTAATCTCCAATAATAATCAAAAAAGAAAACCCTGCCACTACTTAATAGTCTGTTTTAGTTAGAAGTACATCAACATATTGAAATAAAAGTTCTGGTTCACCCGCCCAACTGTTCATGAACGTATTTAAATGCTCACTAAAGGCTGTGAACAACAGTAAAACTGTGATCTCTAAAAATCATTACAGTTTAAAAAAAGTGTATTAAATCTAGTTTAAAATGCTATTTATTCCTGTGATAAAGTTGATGATACTTCAGAAATAATTCGTACACAATTTAATTCTCAGAATTGGTTGTGCTGATTCATGTTTTTGGAAACTACCCCTTTTTTTCTAGATTTTCTGATGAATAAAAGGTTCAAATGAACTATTTATTTGAATGAGAAATCTTTTGATATATTATAATGACTTTACATTGTGACTTTTGATCAACTACTGAATGAAAATAGTTTTATTTCATTTATGTGCTTTAATCTTACACTATTTTTTGGAATATATGAGATTTCCAATTTTTACATTCACATATTTTATTTAAATTTTCAAAGAGATTTTGGTAACATTGGATAATAACTGCCCACTGTGAATCATCATGAAGCATTACAGCTGTCTGCAATACTTGATTCTTATTGGTCAGCCGTGACATTACAAGGTATGTTATGTTTGGGATAAAGTACATCCCGGAGGTTGTTATCGCTGGATATGCTTATTTCAGTTTTATCATCGAAAGGCTTATTGGCAGCCTGACACAAAAAAAGTCTTTTTAAGACTGAAGGGCTTTATTCTTCAAAAACAACTATACTGGATGTACTTTATCCCGCTTATGCCATAGCTATTTGCCACAAAACTGAAGAATTACACACAAAACATCGTTCTGAGCTGTAATAGTTTACAAATTTTTCAATTTCATGTAAAGCTGACAGAAACCTCAATACTTAATTTAGTATTGAAATATTAATCATTAACAAAGTATTAAAAAACATGAATTAAGTACATTAAATATGTGTTTATAAGTAGGCCCACATGGAATCTGCGTGCCTAATTATTTATGTAAATGTGTTCAAATACTGTGTGTGTGTGTGTGTGTATATATATATATATATATATATATATATATATATATATATATATATATATATACATACATACATATATGTGTGTGTGTGTGTGTGTGTGTGTGTGTGTGTGTGTGTATGTATGTATGTATGTATGTGTATATATATATATATATATATATATATATATATATATATATATATATATATATATATATATTTATGTATGTATGTATGTATGTGTGTATATATATTGTATATCTATTCAGTTTTCAATATTAATTTCAATAAAATGCAAATATTTATAAGGTTCATTAACAATACAAAAGTAATACTACACTGTAAAAAAAATCCTGGTTACCTAAATTTTAAAGCTGAATCAAATTAACCTTATGAGTCCACTGAACATATATTACTGACTTAAAACTTATAAAATTAACTTAGAAAATGATTAACTTAGTTTAATAAGTTAAAATGAACTAAATACATATGCTATCATGACTAATTAAGCATTTCATCTTTTATAGTGTAGTAGTTCTTTTTTATGATCCACTTTTTTGGTAAATAAAGTAAGACTATCTAACTGGATTTGCATTGTAAACCTTAAATGAATTATCAGTAAAATAATCATTTTTCATTTGATGTTTTGTGTTTTGTTGATGGGAGTTTATTCTGGTGTGTTGACCCCTGATACATAATGGGCTGAGCTGAAGGAAAATGAATGAATGAAGTTTTAGTAACACCTTAGTTTAGGTCAAAAGTCACACGATTTACCACT